AAATAGTAAAGAAAATTTTACGTGGATGCACTCGTACACATAAAAATATTCAGATGGAGCCAATTAACATTTTTAATTATAACTAAAGACAGCACTGGTGCTACACACCAAATGCTGATAGACATTTCCATACATGCATAAGCTCCAGGTATTTTTACAAGTGCAAGTAAATGATATACACTAATTTTTTAGAAGACTTTCTGCTGTTGTTATTTTAAGAAAGATAAAACTCACCATTGGGCATGCCAAAGTACTAGTATTAATTATCTCATGGTTAAAAAAAAAACTTCAACTGCCTCTTTTTCTTTTGTGTGTTCATATGATTTAATTCTCCTATCAAATGTTTTCTTAAATTGCTGGTGCATGTCTGCAGTTCATAGTTATTACCCTTCCCACCGGGAACTGATACACGCACATACTGCATCCTGATCATTTGCACTTCCTTTTCCCTGTCCAAGTTCCCCTTGATCTCCTTCCCATCTTCCCATTTCCATACAGCTTTTAAATGCTTTTGTGACAGGTCTCTTTCCAGCAGAAAGACATAGAAACTAGCCCAAGAACACAGCCTTCTGGAGCAAAACAAGTAGGATCAGCGCATGACCTCCCCAGTACTTGTGGGAGGACTTTTTTTTTTTTATAGTATTGTAATGGTTTTATGTAGAAGACTTTTTTAAGTTCAATTTTATTTTATTTTGAAGAGTAAAAACAGAAGCAAGAACAAAGAGAAAAGACATAAACGAAGTAACATACAACAATACATAATTACAGACTTTCAAAATGGGAAAAATTAATTAATAATGGTTGCTATATTGTTTATATTTATCATTAAATCTGTTGCTCAAATCAATAGATACAGTGATGCAATATTGGACAAATAGTTGAATATTAACTACTGCAAGACAGTTTAGCAGACTAAGCACCTGCATAGGCAAGGATAAGGAGTAGGATTCGATCCCCAGCACCACATGGCATGCCGGTCCCATCCCAGGGCACGCTGAACAGGCCACCAAGACTAGGCGTGGTGGCACGTGCCAGTAATTCCGGCCATGAGGAGGCTGAAAACACAAGGATCATTATGAGTCTGAGCTGTGTAGTGAGACCCTGTACCA